CGGTGTTATCTGGTATGGATTGATGACGTGACTGTCTGATCCAAGATACTTGGTGTCATACTGAGTAGGTGGTGATGTGTACATTGATTTCTTTTTGAGAATATGGGATGGCATGTTGTACCAACTCTTTATCGCTCCCTTGCTTGAATAGGAGATCATTCACAGAGTTGAAGAATCGTGGTTGATGGAAGATCTTTCCACTCATGAATATCTTGGCACAATCTTTCTAAACTCCACCTTTTTTATGGAAAGTGTACAACTCCGCAATTTTGTTTGGAGAAAACAAATACATAGTGAATCTGTAGTTCTAATTGTTTTCTTGGAGGGAAAATATAGGATTTGGCTGTGTGGTGAAGTTAATAGAAAGCATTGCATTTATAATGTAAAAGGTAAAAAAATAGAATATATAATCAGTGGGTTCAAAAAAGTTGTGTTCTTTTTGCGGGCGGTGTTCAAAGTTAAGTCGTTCATGTATAAAATGTAAAATTTATAATTATCAAAAAAGTTGTTTTTTGAAATGGCTTGTGTATCTACTTTTCGTAGTTGAGAAAGAACATTATTCTATAACTGTAGATGTTCATGTCAGCATGTATGCATGCACCTCGATTACTCCTAACCTTGAAGTTAACAACGAGACAAACCTTCTGGTGGTTTTGAGGAGACTTGAACAAGTGACATCTTACCTGTTAAGATTAGCAAAAATTGCTAGATACTATATGATGACCAAAAAAACTAAGTAAACGAATGGACAAAGTTGATATATTATTATCCTTGGTTGTTGGTACAGGTTGATCTTACGACAAGTGACTGGGATGAGTGCAGCTTCTGGTTAGCGACACTGAAACGAATGATCAAGATTAGGCAGACGGTGAGATGATCCATATCTAGATTGGTTTGGATTTTGAAAGCAGTTACAGAAGTCGGATATATCTGTCGTGTTTTTGTGTCGATGTTATGGGTTTTTGTTGAATAACATGAGGAAATGATTATGTAGTAAAGTTGTATTTACTAATTACTAGTAATGGAGTCTGAATCATAGTATGTAGTCATTAACCTTTTTAGAATATGTTAGTCTTCCATATTTCGATTTAATTAGTTTAGACCTTCACATTATGGATACTTCCATCTGGTCAAATGTTTACTCTATGAGGTCACCAAAACGACAAGCATGTTTTTTTATGCTATTTTTTTTCTCTTTTCTGATGAGTCATCATGGGATCTTGTTAAGCTAATGATAATGAAAACCTACGGTGTCCATATGGAGACTTGAAATGGTGATTGAATTAAAGGCTAGATTTTGAGACTTCCTTTTTGTTGCTACTATTGGAACATTCAGACGTTTGATCTAATGGAATGGTTTTAAGAGATTTAGATATTGTAAAAGAATTTGGATTTGAGAGGATTTGAAATTTTTGGTTTGTAGGATTTGAATTCTACTCTATAATATATAAATAAATTATAAAAATACGTGAATTATCTTTTTATTATTGGATAATTATAAAATATATGTTTTAAACATTTTTTAAGACATGTTACATTCAAATCCTATGAAATGCAGTGAAATACCAACCACCTTCGTGGGATTTCAAAATCCTTGAAGCCAGACATGAAATTGCAATGGAATTCAATTTCAAATCCAATCAAATTCTAAATTGGATTGGATTGGATTTGGAATTGAATTTCATTTAAATCTCATGCCTCAAAACTTTCCTAGATTTGAGATCTTAGGATTTTATTGAAATCCCACAAACATGAGATTTTAAAATCCTTTTGGAGTAATTGGTATTTCATGGAATTTGTTAGGATTTGTATATAATAACATTTTAAGATTTTATTTTTTATTTGTATTATATGTAATAGTTATTTAAAATCGTAAATTAATAACTTTTTTCTACAATTTGATTTAACAAATCCAAAATTTATAAATACATATAATAATCAATTTGAAATTTTTTTAATCAACATTTTATATTATTAATTTTCTTTATTATATTGTTTTTCTTAATTAACATATTATACTATTAAGATATTAACATATTGTTTTAATTATATTATGAAATATTGTAATTAACTAATTTTTCAAGATATCTTTTTTGGTCATTTTATAATTTTATTAGCTAACCAGAAGAATGGTGCCTGATTGGTTTGAGCTTGACCTCAAAGGTCAAAAGTACCAGAATGTCTCAAGTTCAAATCCAAGGAGGAATAAAAATCTCTTTGTGGCCACGGAGATTCAAATGCAGTGACTCCAGGATATCTGCAAAATAGGTGGTCGCCCTGGGATTAGTCGGCTAGTATAGCGGGTTGAATATCCAGGTTAATAAAAAAAAAGATTATTAGCTAATTTTTGCCAAATATAAATCATTCATAAGCTAAATTATTAGTTACCAACTAGATTATTAGCTAATTTGCCAAACATAGCCTTAAGAACGTCCACAGTAAACAGAAAAAATGCCTTGTTATGCCTTGAAATCTGTCAGAAAGTTATTCTCTCAGATAACCCCATGTAGAAAGAGAAACGAGCCAAAGCTGCCGAACGGAACTCAAATTTGACCCCTTACGCCGGTTCACGTAGCACATTCGGAACAAATAAAAACCAGCCTACACTCGTTTATGGCATAAATTGTGTAATGTGTACTACAAAAAGGATTACAAATAGTATTTTTGGTAATGTTGATCTTTACACAAAAACAACTACATTGAAGGTCTTGGATTTGAGGCTAGTAACATGACTTCGATTATTTTCCTTTTGAACACAAGGAATGAACCTGTTACCTCTACTTTTTAGTCGATTCGAGCTCCGACACCGTGTCCCTGTTATAAAAGAAAAATCAAAGAATGTCGATTAAATTATGGATCAAATAACTGTCGTTAACCACATCACCCATTTCATTGTACCAACATCAAAAAACTTCGGCCACGGATCCGATATGTAATGCAATAAATTGATATCGACCACTCGGAAACAATCAAATACAATCCATTATAACGACGAATATACAAGGATGCAAATTGTCCTTCATCAACTACACTCATATGGTACTCAAAATAGTGATGATATATATTGCACACTAGTTTATAAACTAGTTGTTGGCTGAAAAGGTTAGTTGTTAGCTTATAAGTTAACTGATAAATAGTCAATAAGCCATATGACAATGTAAATGACTTAAAAGAAAAATGTAGCGGGCATAGTTGGGAAAAGGATGATAACAGGTCTAATAGGCCATCTCAAGCAGCTTTCCAAGATATTGGTTTATATGGCTCACCAGATAGGACTTTTTCAATAAGCTCGAAAAATAAGTTAGTTTATGGTTGCCAAACATGGCCTAATGGGTCGTTTACCAGATGCTTACTGAATAAACACTTGACAAGAGCATTACCCTCACTTACCTTATCGGGTAACTAAAATTGATTGTTGGTAAGCTTCTCTTTATCCGGTAAGAGTTTACTAGGTAAAAGTCTTCTCCTTCACTTATCACAAGTAAGATTCTTGGTTCTTGCTAGAACTCTTGCCGGGAAAGACTTTAGGTCTTTGTCATGCTCATCCGAAGGTAAGTGACACTCAGTAAGCACTTACCCGGTAATTGTTAGGTAAACGACCCCTAAGTGTTGTATTCTTTCTTGGATAAAAAGGAGTATCATGTATGGTAATCCGAGATTACGAAAGGTACAATTTTGGTCGAATTTTATTGACGTAAATGAAGACATGAGGCTAAATATCCGAACTAAAACATAAGCTGTATGAGTACAAAGAGGAGAAAAGACAACAAATTATTTTCGTTTCGACTCAATTGCGAGCGAGTTACCTAGTTGGGCTCATGTAGTTATTTTTTGAGTTTATTGAAAAAACCCTATTTGATAAGCTATAAACTAGGTTTTTGAAAAGCTATTTAATATAGCTTATTGGGTTTTTCTTTTCACTTTTTCTCCAATTATACCCCTTTATATTCACATAAATGCCCCTTATATTTTCCTTTTAGACCATTCTAAATTGTCATATGGCTTATCAGCCAACAGCAAGTATGGATGTTCAAAAAAACCGTTGGACCGCTCAAACCGGACAAACCAAGTCAAACCGGACCGTCTTTGGCGGTTTGGCGGTCCAGTATGGCTTGGAAAATAGCAAAACTGGGCAGTCCGGTCCGGTCTGGAACCTTTTTTTGGCGGTTTGGACCAAACCGGCCGCCAAATATATATATATATATATATTAGTATTAGCAAGTCCAACTTTTTTAACTTATGGGCTATGACTCAAATATATCCCTAAACCTAACATCTAACATAATCAAAATCGGCACCTAAAACCCTTAAACCATTAAACATATCGACACATTTGATATTGACGGTATCCAAATTTTGAAATTCCTCCAGAACTCTATCAATCTATCAATCTTTTTAATCCATGGTTTGATTTCAGCGCACATCATCAAGACATCAACCAAGTGATTCAATCAACTTAGATTTGGCTTCTATTTTGTTTGGTCAAGAATTCAAGACTCAAGAATTGAACTATTGAAGGTTGTGAAGTCGTGAATTTTTTTACTCAATACTTACAGGGGAGTTGTAACTTTGTTAATTTGTTTATTTTCTAATATGTATTATATATTTATTTGTTTGTATTTTTGATTGCTTCGACTTTGTAAGCTGCTTAATTATTACATTTATTTGTTTAGATATTTTGTTTTGTTAAATTGTATATTTAATCGAAAATTATAAATTATATATGTTTTAAATTTAATATTTAAAGTCCATTAAAGACCCAAACCGCCTAAACCAGTCAGACCAGACCGCCTTTTCGTAGTCTGGTTTGACCGGTCTGGACACTTGATGTCAAACCGCTCGGTTTGAAAATTTTATAAACCACCATTACGGTCTGGTTTGTGGTCTGAGGGGTTAAACCGCCCAAACAGGGCCGCCACGACCACCCCTAACAGCAAGTTTATCGGCTAGTTTGGCAAACATATGTTTGGTCGTTTGGGGAAGCTAGTAAAAGGGTACTGTAAAATAAAGATTCATTGGTGTTCAGCATGAACATATCTATAAAACCGATCATCAAAGAACCAAATTTCGACTTTGGACACAACTATGAGTTACCAGCTTCATATATGTTGATACAACATGTTTGGGTTCTGATAAGAACTAAAGTTTCTTGAGAACCGTAGGTACCACTTCGTTACCAGAGTTTCACATAAGTTGTAGGTACCACTTCGTTACCAGAGTTTCACATAAGTTAACATCCTCACATGCATTAATATGTTAACATTTCATGTTAAAGTAGGTTAACATATATTAATATCAACATTTTCATGGTAACATATGCTAAGCTGATAACGCGGTCAACTGTAGAAATAGCAGGCGGGACCGTGATTTGAAGTAGCGGTTATCACGTTGGTATATAAACGAGGGATCGTGTAAGAATAACAGTTCAGTTGAGAAGTGTAAGAGGCGATTTGGTCCCTTGATCACTTTTAATCACAAACAAATCCATGAATTACGCTTTAGAAGAGAATTGACTGGTGCTTCTCATTAGTGTTATTGATCTAAAGGTGGGTATTAGATAGGCAAAATAGGCCACCCAGTTTTTAACTCGAATCTAGCTCCTAATTTCCATTTTCTTAACTGGTTGCAGTCAAAATAAGCCAACTGTGAAATGTCCAACTTCTGCAAGCATCAAAACATGACATAGTTTGCAGATAAGTAATGCAATTCATGATGTAAAGACCACCACAAATCTAGATATAGATTTGTACCTCAAGAATGAAGAAGAAAAGATTCATCAGCATCTTCATCATCATCTTGAAACTGGTTTTTGCAAAAGAGCAGTCAAATAAACCTCCCCATTCTTCACGCCACTTGAATCCATCTTCTTCCCCACTGCCCATTTCACCTTTTTATACCCCAATTTCCCAATCAATGGCCCATAAATCTTATCAAGATCGACTTCTTTACTGAAAAAATGATCCACCCAAAAATACCCACCACCTCTCAATACTCTATCCACATCATAAAGCAAGAACTCCATTGCTGCCACCGGAATCCACCGGTTGACGGCGTGTCCACATCGTACCAGATCCAAAACACCATCGAAGACCGGCAATCTCTGCTGCAATGGCGCATGTAATGGCACCAATCCCCTGAGTGCAGCAACTTCGTTATATGGTGCACTCAAGCTCATTGTGGTCGTTAGAACCGTCACATTTTCTTGCTTCATTTGCGCAGCGAAAGTACCTGTACCGCCGCCGATGTCTAGAGCTAACCGGAGGACGCTTTTTGACTTTTTTGCGATCTCTGTTAGTTGAGAAATGGGGAGATCAAGATCGGTTTTGTAGCTCAAAAACTTTGATTTCTCTTTCTTTAAATCAAAACCCAGATCTGGGTTAAGACAATCCAAGTTTTTACACTTGTAATTACTCCATAAAATGGAATTTTCCGGCACCGGAGAGAAGGGGTTCGTGGGAAGGGAAGTTGGGAGCTTATTAGGGGTGGGAGAAAAGCAACGCCGGCGTGGGAGAGGATGACATCCACGGAGGATCAACGGCTCAGCGGCGGCGGATGACGGTGGGGGACAAAGGGTGAACGGGGTGTAGTTCATGTACTGGTGAAGGAGGTCAGGGTGGTGGCGACAGGCGGATGCGATGGGGGAGAGTTGGGTATAGAGAAGGAGATCCGACGGGATGATGGCGGCGGCGGTGGAGGGGTTGTTGTGAAGGGAAGGATTGGGCTGGAGGCGCGTGAGGTGGTTGATGGTGGCGCGTATGGTCTGAAGCTGGCGGAGGAGGTGGTCGGGAACTGGGGGGTTAAGAGGGGTGGTGGGTTTAGTGGAAATCATGGTGGTTGAGAGGTGGTAGAGGGAGAGGATATTGGTGGCAACCATGGCTACCAGAAGAAGGAGATTCAAACCCATCGTGAAACCCATCGGAAATCTTGGCACAAAAGCTTTAAGCTTTTCTATGTGATTTTGGGTTTTGAAGAAGTGACATGATTTAGTGATGATTTTGATCTTGGTGTGAAATGCTGTTGTTTGAGATCCGAGATGGTATGTTTCTGACCGTTGGATGCATGGAGTTGTGATCTGATGGTTGAAAAGGTGAAGAAGACCAGGGGGTCCTTGGTGTGGTCAACGAATGAGATTCTTGGTTTCGTTTTGGAGAACACGTGAATAGGCCAAGTTGGGAGGGCCATCTATCCAGTTATTAACTAAACTAACCTCCTAAAATAATCGAAATTACAAAAATAACTTTCAAACAAATATTTTTGAAAAAAATGACCCCTCGGTTAGCATTACACACTACCTGGTACGTAGAGGGATTAGTTTGCAAAAAAAAAAAAAATACAAAATTTGATGATGTGACATCTCAGCCGGATTCTTATCGGTGGCAGCTGACGGTTAAGCACCGACGGGTGTGCGATGCATAAGGGGCTCACTTGGCACCCTACACCACTTCTGAATTTTGACTCCTATATATATATATATATATATATATATATATATATATATATATATTATTTTTACTAAACATCATCGACACATTCTAATCCAATTTTTACATAAAAAGTTATCTTCTTCAAACTCTCAAGAATCAATGTCAACCGTCGTTGAAAAAGTTAGGGTACGTGTTTTTTGTGGAGCTTTGTGGCAGTTAGTCAACGACGTGGTAGATTATATTCTAGAGACGCAAAAAGCGATTGTTTTGTTGGCGATACACTTAACATTTTTAGGTTTGATCAATTATTTAGTTAGAAAATTAAACTTACCAGATTTACGAAATCACTTTAAGTTAACATATAAATTTTTATCATTTGGTTCGGTTGTCGAGTTATTTGACATCAATGATATGAGACATTTTCTAGCTAATGATGTGGATATTTCACTGCAAGCCCTAAGATTGTATGTTTGCGATTGTGGTACGCAAAACAATCAATCGAACTCAAGCCAATATATTGTTCCAGTTACTGTGTATGGGCTGGACCACCTCCAGTATATACTTTCACTCATTCCGTTTAGCTAAAGTGAGGGTTACAACTGATACATACTTCCACTCATTCGATACCAACCACTCCAAAGTGATGAGGCAGCTCCTAACACTCCATATCAATCATATCAAACTCAATATCAACCGTTTCAAACTCCACATCGAACGCACCAATCTCAGTATCACCCATTTCAAAGCAAGGGATGTATGAAACTCTATATCAGTCGTACAACAATTCATATAAGTTGTATGAAAGTCGTCCGATGTATCAATACCAAGATCTACCATCTAATTATGACATTCGTATTTCTGAAATTCCTGCCGAAAAATATGAGGCCAATTTATATGACATTGAAAATGCATCTGAGAAATATAAGATTGATCTTGATCCTTATTATGGGTCTGTCTCGGGGGATTGTTTGTATCATCCTAATACAGATGAATATCTTGGGTTACAATCAAATTGGATACATAAGATAAAGAAAAGGGCGGGGGAGAAAGATAAAAAAAGGTGTTGATAGGGGTAATATTAGTGGTCTGATGTGTTGTAATTTATTTTGGGGCATGTCTCCCCCATTACCAATGGTTGTCCCTATTGTGAAGTCTAAAGAACCGACTGCCAAATATCAAAATTCTAAACGTGTGAAAGTAGGACAAATTCTCAAGTGTAAAGAAGACTTGAAACTAGCCATCAGACTAAAATGTCTTAAAGAGGGGTACAAAATGAAAACCTCCCGCTCCATGCGATCTAGGTTTGTAGCAGTATGTATATCTCAAAAGTGTGAATGACGAATAAGAGCAACCGTAATTTACGGTACAAAGTTGTTCCATTCATTTTTTCTTTTAAGTTTTGTTTTTAAAACTAAAACTCAACAACTGGAAAACATAAAATTGAATCATATAAAAGAAAATTTGAAACATGAGGCTAATGGAGTTTCATGGATTACTTATAAACAAAGCTATAGACATAAAAGTCATGATATTTGGTTAAGAATTTCATCTAAGATCAACAAAAACTGAAAATTTTGATTTTGAACTTCGGACTTAGATTTCTCTCTCGATAGATGGTTATTTTTTAAACTATTTGAACCAATATGATCCTTAACCGGTTTCCCTATATTTATATGTCAAGAGTTTTGGCTTATTACTTGAAAAAATCGACCAAATCGTGGTTTTTAGGTTGTGAGGTCGTTTTCTCCAAACATAGATGTGCTATTGGCAAAACATGCCCCTCATCTTTGAAAAAGATGACTTTTAGCCCTATGAACTTTCTAACATTTACATCTGACCCCTTGCTTCACTATTTTGACTAACTTTACACCTTTTACGCCTAACTTAACAATTTGTTTCCATATTGGTCCTTCTATCGATTACTTCATATTTTATGATTTCTAGAACCATTCCGTTCAATTAATCATATGAATATTTTAACACTTCTAATTTGTTTTTTATTTTCTTAATATCTTAGGTAATCATTCGTTTTTTTATAAAAATATTAAAAACCACTATAATATTATTTTTATGCATTTAAAATTTTGGGTTTTTACAACATTGAACCTTACCCATGTTCTTTGGATGTCCTAAATAATAAAGTTTTATCCATGTTTTCAACATTTGAATCTTAAACCTTATTCACTGTTTAGATAAGTATCGAGTTTTGAATTCATGGTAAAATGGGTGCTTTTCATCACGAAAATGATGATTTTGAGAAAGATGTTGCTTTTATACTAATTACATTTCATTTTGAATTGTGATTTAAATAACATATTTTTCAGTTTACTATTTTATATTAAAGATGAAAATTACTTGAATTCACTAGGCGTTAAGCCTAACCCTTTTTATTTATTGACATGTGCATCAGGTCCTTGTTGAGGAATGGTATTAGCGACACCGTGAAGAGTGGAGTTCTAGTTAGATGCACCAAAAGGATTTAGGTTTTTCGGAATATATTATGTATGTTGGAATGTTGGCTGTAATTGGATTGTAGTAACACCCGGCCTTGACCTAGACTTTATGTAAGGTTTAGTTTTCCATATTATTGACGTTAAACCTAAGTTGCTATTTGAGGTAATCAAGTAAATGCTTATTGAAAATGGATTTATCTTTTATTTGATGTATTTATTGAAAATTTTAAATTAATTGCTTTTTCTATATTTCATAGTGTTACATCCACATCAATTGATTCTAAATTTTCCATTCTGACCTTCATGCGTTTGATTAGATTTTTGAATATCTGATCAATAGTTGGTGTCGAGATGCTTATCGCATTGATAATTTCCTCCACTTACTACTTCGTTCCTCTTTGCTCCTTTCCTCTTCACAACTGCTATGTTACAGGACAAGATTTGAATACCACAAGCACTTTTCCTACCCAATGTTATCTCCTCGAACCCGATCTTTAGCTATTAATACTCGCATCTTCTGAGTGTCATTTTTTGCGCATCTAATATGTTTATAAGCCTTATGTAACACCCGTGATTTCAGGACATATAATTATGGCTAAGCGCTTAACAGAGTGATGTTTAAAATGATAAATTATGAATGTTTTTCATAATTATATTAATGGAAAAGTTTGAAATCCAGTCGGATGTGAAAAACATGAAAGTCAGTGAGTGGCGCGACCTGGCGCGCGACCTAGGGTTGCAACGTAGGCCACCTAGCTTATTGTGTCCATGAAGGGAACTGGCAGTTCGGGCGACTTGCCTTGCGACCCGGTGTTGCGGAAGGGTCAAATTCAGCCCTAAAACCCCAATTTTTGGGGATTTTCTCATTTCTCTCCACCAAACTTTTTTCTAACCCTTTTTCTCTTATCTTAGAGACTTTGGAGGTTTAGAGTCCAATTCTTAATTCTTTAAAGATCATTCTTGGTGGATTCAAGAGTTTTTGGTTAGGGTAATATTCTTATCTCTTCATCGAAAAGCTAGGGTTTTAGTGTTCTTTGTCTCTTTTCTATTTCCTTCGATTTTTTGTGTAACTCTGAGGATACTTGTGGTAGAGGAAACCTTATGGGAGTTTTGGAACTAAGATTTAGAGAGCTCACTAAGAGATTTCATGTGTTCATCAAAGTAAGCTTAAGATTTGGGGTAAAACCTAGATTTAGCATAAATCTAGCAAGGTGAGTTCTAGTTGATTTGCAAAATTATGTACATGTCAAAATATATTTATTTTTAGTTTTGAACATACATCTATGAGTAAATACACATTGATGAGTTTTATAAATATTTATGATTTTGTGCATATTTGGGTTATAAAATCCCTAGAAAATGTTTATGATGTTTATTGGGTGTTTTTAGACACTAGATGATATTTATTTCATAAAAGTTTTGATTTATTGGATATTTGAAAATTTTGAGTTAAAGTATCATTTTAACTGTTAAGAAGTGTATTTTGAGTTAAGAAGGATTTCATTTGGTATTGTTGAACAAGTCCAAGTGTTTGTTCACTTGGTTATGTGTCAAGTGTGCTTCGAGGACTTTACCCAACTTGTGAACTTATGATATGACATATTAGTCATTTTTTGTCATAAGTGTATAAATATTTGGTAACCCTTTTTTGACTTTGTGGAGACTTTGGGAATACAGTTTGGGGCCTTTTGGCTATCAAACTTCAATGAAGGGTTGGTTATGAACCTATTGAAGTCTTGCGGTGGTGCTCATTGTAGCTGTATATGGAGACCAGTGACTTTTGTGGTAAGGCTCATCTAGAGTTTCAATAGACGTTAGGGTTATTTTGGGAATCTTGCAGTGGTGCTCAATAAAGTCGTATACGGGGATCTATAGCTCGATGTGAAACTCAAAAATATTGATAAGTGGCTTAACTTTGTGTTCCTACCATATTCGATGGAATCTGGTCTTCTTTATCACCAAAAGGTGTTGTTTTCGGGTACTTCGTTACCCATGCTTTCGATGTTTTGAATAT